TATCTATCTATCTATCTATCTATCTATCTATCTATCTATCTATCTATCTATCTATTATGTATACAATGTTATGTCACCTGCACACCAGAAGAGGGCACAAGATCTCATTATAGATGGTTGTGAGCCACCATGTGGTTGCTGGGAATTGAACTCAGGACCTCTGGAAGAGCAGTCAGTATTCTTAACCTCTGAGCCATCTCTCCAGCCCAAGCATTTTTCTTTACTTGCTGAGCCATCTTGCTGGCCCCAAAGAATAAAATGTTTTACTTTATTAATGTATGTGTATGGGTGATTTGCCTTCAGTGTATGTCTGTGCATCACACATGTGCAGTGCCCACAGAGGCCAGAAAACAGAGCTAAATTTCATAGAAATGGAGGGATAGACAGTAGTGAACCACCATGTCAGTACTGGGAATTGAACCTGGGACTTCTGGAAGAGCAGCCAGTGCTCTTAAATACTAAACCATCTCTCTAGCCCCAAGAATAGAACTTTTAAAGAAAAAAAAAAAAAAAAAAGTGACACACACACACACACACACACATATATATATATATATATATATATATATATATATATATATATATGGACCAGAGAGCTAGCTCTGTGGTTAAGAGTACTCGCTGTTCTTCCAAAGGACCCCAGTTCAATTCCCAGTACAGCTCACAATTGTTTGTAATTCCAGTTCCAGAGGATCTGACACTCTCACATAAACACAAGTGCAGGCAGAACACATAGGGTAGGTGTGACTAAGGTTCTCTGGCTTTGGAAGACAAGGCAGATGGATGGAAAGAGAGGAGGAAAGAGGATGCCATGATGGGTTAGTGTGTAGAAAAAAACCACATGAGCCAAGAGGAAGGACTCCAATAATGGCATGAAAAGGCCCAGATGAAGAATACAAGCAAGTACCATGGGATTAAGGATGGAAGAGAGACCAGATAGGAAGGATTAAGATGGATGGCATTGGATGGGGGCTAGGAGATGGATGGTGAGGATATTGAGATAGTGTAAGTCAATTATCGGCCTGGCCCAAGGTAAGTAAGGCAATTATAACAGGTGTCTGTGTCTTGTTATTTGTGATAGCAGCTTAAATAATACCATGATAATTTTAGGGCTAATAATAATAATAACAACAATATACAGCCCAAAAGCTCATTTATTTATGATTTACTACAACATCTATCTCCCTAAATTACTCTGCAAAACAGACAGAGGGAAGAAAAGAGACAATTCAAGGCAGGAGAAATCTGAATCCATTAATACACTTTGTTCCCCTCTTCCAGTTCCAGCTATTACCACCTAACCACTGTCTCCCATTCCACAGACCTGAATTGGAAGAATACCACGCCCTCAAAGGGCCCTCAAAAAAAAACCAACCTTGTCTGGAAGCTACTCACAAATTTTCCTGGAGCTTGCTTGAGTCCTGCTTAGTTCCAAGTTGGCTCATCAAATTCTTTATCTGAGCAGCTAGAAAGAAGGGAAAAGGATTTATTTTAAAAAGTAACACATTCAGGGGGCTGGAGAGCTGGCTCAGTGGTTAAGAGCACCAGCTGCTCTCCAGAGACCGGGGTTCCATCTCCAGCATCCTATGGCAGCTCACAGCTGTCAGTTATAGGGGATCCCACACCAATGCAAATAAAATAAAAACTAAAAAAAAAAAAGTAACGCATTCATCATGAGCACTCTACTTCACGGAGCACTGGTTGCCCGTATCTTCCATACATGCAACTAACAGGAACCATGCTGAGGCCCAAATCTTGACACATTCTTCTACAGTACTTTTACAAGGTTCACTAAACAGAAGGCGGTTCTGTTTATCATCTCCAAAGAACTGAATAATTCTTCTGGATATTCCACAACCCTAACCATTTCATCCTCTTTAGGACTAGGAAGGCAGTAAATTGGTAGTGCATGCACCCAAGGCCTGGGGTTCCATCCCAGTAGCGTAAAAAAAGGGAAGGAAACACACACTGCCTTTGGAAGAGTCTCAAAGCTACAACAATCTACAATACCTTTGGACTTGCTTTTCTGAGACAGTCTCAATCTGTAGCCTAGGCTAGCCTCCTATCTATCTTCCTGCCTCAACATCTTATCAGTTAGACTCCTGATGATTTAGTCTAGTTGGATACCATAAATAAATAAATATATGAATATATTTGAATATATATATATATATATATATATTTTTTTTTTTTTTTTTTTTTTTTTTTTTTCCTCAGCGACCCAAAGGGATCATAAAGGAGAGGATAAATGGTCTGGTGGGAGAACTCCTGATTTTTTTTTTTTAAATCACATTTCTCTTGACATTAAAAGTATGAGTCACTCCACCAGCTTTCAGCAAACAATTTAAGTCCATAGGGGCTGGGAATGTTGTTTACTTGGTAGCAAGCTTGCCTAGCATGCATGTAGCCCTGGGTTCAGTCCCCAGCATTGCATAAAAAAAACACGGTGGTGCATGCCTTTAAGTTCAAAGGTATGCTCAGGTATATAGAAAATTCAAAGCCAGTCTAGAATACATGAGATCCTGCCTGTCTCAAAAATAACAACAAAAACTTACCCACGAAATCAAACTAGGTTTTCTACAGCAAATGCTTTTAGAAAGGCAGTCAACACTGACTTTCAGTAACAGGTAAACCCTGGTTAAGCACTGCTAGTGTCAAGCACTCCATTATGTCACGCACATGCCATCCAACTTTCACAGCAAAGGTCTGAACTGGTCACATGTGGCAACACATGTACCTCATCTATGCACACACAGTAAAGAATTTAATCCGGGCATATAGACTCCAACAGAGAGCATTCTTTCCTGCATGGCACCGCAGCCAAACACAGTTTTGTACACTCCTGTTCTTTTCCTAGATACCTGGTAGCCTGGGAATGCTCATGTTCGAATCCTTGACATCCAAACCCTTGCCTGACCCAAAAGACCTTCCCTTGCTTTCTATTTTCCTTCCCTGCTGTCAGAGAAGGGAAGGGAAGGTTTACTAAGTTGGGGGGTAGTTGCACAATGTGCATATGTGTGTGTCTGTCCATCTCTCTTCCTGTAAATTGAACCCAGGACCTCACACATGCTAAGTCATAATACCTAAGAACAGAACTCATTAGCAGACTATTCTTGATCCAACTGAAGTGATGTTTACCACTAATTTTGCTTGTTTTGGTTTTTCAAGGCAAGGTCTCTTTGGGAGCTCTTGCTGTCCTGGAATTCGCTCCATAGGCCAGGCTAGCCTCGAACTCAGAGATCCACCTGCCTCTGCCTCCAAGTGCTAAGATTAAAGGTTTGCACTCCTCATGCCTAGCTGGTGTTTAAAATTGATTAATCATATCTGGTTACAGATATTTTTGTTCTTTCTCCACTCTCACTGCTTCAAGTTGCAGCAGAATTTCAACAGATAACATAGCACAGACAAAAGATTGTTCCTCTGTGAGCAAGCACCTTTGCTACTCCCTCTGGATTAATGTCAAAGCTTCAGGCACGCTATCAGACTACAAAAGAACAGGTGAGCTTAGGTGAGCAAGTGAGGAAGCCAGCGCTGTTATCAATATCATACAGTAACACACATTCTGTGCTTCTAGAGCTAACCAAAAAGGATGTCCAGTTACTACAAGTTTGAAATTTTAAAATCTATATTTCTAGGTTTAGTTGAAGGCTTAGTGGGTAAAGGTACCTACTAGAAAGTCTAACACCTGAGTTTGTATTTAAAGATTTATTTTATTGTTTATATAGTATTCTGCCTGCGTGTATGCCTGCAGGCCAGAAGAGGGCACCAGATCTCATTACAGATGGCTATGAGCCACCATGTGGTCTCTGGGAATTGAACTCAGGACCTTTGGAAGAACAGCCTCTGAGCCATCTCTCCAGTCCCTGATACCTGAGTTTGAGCCCAGAAACCCACATGGGAAAAAGAAACAACTTCCCTCCTCTGACTTCCAAACAGCTAGCACACATGCACCCCTACACCTAAGTGAATGGATTTAAAAAAACAAAAATATCAATCAGGCTGTAAAGTGATTAAATAAATTAATTAATGGAAAGAAAAAAAAACTTAGCCAGGTATGATGGAGCATGCCTTTAGTCCCACCATTTGGATGGCAGTACTCAGATTCTCTGTGAGTGCAAGGCCAGCCTGGTCTATACAGTGAGTTCTATTGACAGCTAGAACTACACAGTGAGACCCTATCTCAATAAATTAAACAAACAAACAAACAAACAAATGCCCCTATTCACATTTCAATAATGGTGCCCTTTAAAATAAAGTATTAAGCCCACTGTGGTGACCTGTACTTAGAATCCAGCAGTCAAGAGGGTGAGGCAAGAAGGTTCCTGTGAGCTCAAGGCTAGCCTGGTCTATATTTTGCGGGTAAGGAGAGCCTGGGTTATATAACAAGACACCCCCCCCCAAAAAGAAACAGAAACAACAACAAAACAGACACACACACACACACAAAGCTAAGCTGTGGCGCATGCCTGCACCCAGCAGTGAGAGGGTACAGGAGGGTCATGAATTCAAGATCCGTGATCAGTTTTGGCTATGTGTCAAATCTGAGGACATTCTAGGCTACATGAAACCCTGTTTCCCCAAAACCAAGACCAAACAGTTTACTTTTTGACAAGACTCCTAAGAAAATTCTATTCTCTTTAGTAGAAATTAGTTATACCTCAATAATTCCATAAGAAAACATCAGCTATATTCTACTAAAATACAAATAACATAACATCCTTATTCAAGTTAAGTGGGAATTAGGATATCACTAAAGCTATCAACCGGATGCTGTGACGATTTACGAGAGGCAGGCATTAGAGACGGAGATGCACTCAGGTGGTAGAGTTCTTGCTCAGCCTGCAACGAAGCCCTGGATTCAACTGCCGGCACCATATCAGGCAAGGCAGGTACTGTCAGTGCTTGAGAAACAGAAGGAGTTCAGGGTCATCCTCTCTGGAGCCAGCCTGTCACACGAAACTGTTTCAAAAGGAGGAAAGGGGCAGACACGAGCCCTGAGCACTCACTGAGCAGACACTGGGCTAGTTACCTGGCATTTCCTATGTGACCCTAACCAACACTAAGGCATTAGCATCACCCTACTTTATGTGACAGCACTGACTTGTTCATTCAGAGGACAGCATCTACTCTACATTGTTCTATACACTTGCTGGCACTTGCTGAAGGAAGTTTACATTCTTGAGGGTGAATAAGAAAAACATGCCAGGCAGTAACAGGCCTACCAAAAAAAATCAAGTGAGGACAAAGGAGTAGGCAAAGGCCCCATGAGGGGCCAATCAGATAAGGAGACAATGAGCACAGATCTAAAGAAAAAACAAAGGAAAGCAATACACCTATGGGGAGGCAGGTATTCCAGGCAGAGAGGAACTAACTAGGACAAAGTCCTCAAAACAAGAACCAGCAGCTCTAGCCAGGGTGCTAGAGCTAAGTGAGCAAGAGATAAAAGTGTAGGCCAAAGAGGTAGTGGGGAGTCAGATTATGGAGACCTTGCACAATTATAATGAGACTTTAATTAACTGGCAAGCCACTGAAGGGGCTATGAACAGCATACCATGGCTAGAATTCAAACGCAGGGCTGGCTCCAAAGGCTATATGCGTTGACTCACATAGTGCTGCTCTCAAGGGGCTGAGTCTTCAAGGAAATAGAATGTAGTCACACAGGGCTGGTCTCGATTTCCCAGGGTTCCACTTTGCCCCACCCTGCTTATCTGACAGTGCCTTAACCTAACTCCAGATAGATATCCTTGTTCTAACCTGCTCCCCTCCTCAATGCCCGCCCATTTTTGGGAGTGTGCCTCTGTACTCACTGGAGTCCAGCAGACTGCCAGGCATTCAGTAGGTACAAGGATACTGACTGAGTCAGCCTCTTCCCTTCAACTTCATGGCATTCACATTAAGACAAAAGATGTTAATCAAGGTAGATTATGAATAAGAAGACTTAACCATTTACTAGATGTAGGGAACTGGGCATGCTGTTTATCTTGATGGACCTCTTTCACCACTTGCAGATTATATCCAGATTTAACTAATGTTTGCTGAGTACTTACTATATGCGTGGGGTTTTCACTTTTTCTCATAAATCTTGTAGTTGGTTGAGACGGGTGCTACTTAGCCAAGGCTGGCCTCCCTACATAACTGAGGATGACCTCGAACTTCCGTTCTTCCTGCCTCCACCTCCACCTCCAATGCCCAAGTTTCTGCAGTGCTAGAGATTAAACTCGAGGATGTGTGTGTCTGTGCTATGAGAGTACTGTGCCGACTGAGTTACAGCCCAAACCCTCTCGTTACACACTGCTACTACTGAGGACTAAACGATCTCCAAGTATCCCACACTGCTGAAGCCAGTCAGTCACAGTCAAACAGCTCTAGTCCCAGAAGGACGGAGTTTTTTGGTAACCTAAATGTGTGGCTCAGAGATGGTCTACCTGTGACTTTATTCTTGTAAATGCAAGGTGCAAGGTGGGC